GTATCTGACACGGTTATTGATCCAGTCCTTTCCGCAGTTTTGCCCATCCTCGATTCGCGGATTCTGACATGTATATTTGAAAATATAAAGAAAATTTCTCCGCCCTTAATGCTTCTCGGGTTTTCGATTAAGGCTGCGCTAGCAGGAAAAATAATAAATCGTTCGCAAATGGATGACGCTCTTATGAATACGTGAACGCGTATTCCCGAAATTCACGATTCGTAAATTAAATAATTTGCATGAGAGTACAGCTCGGTTTCAAACGTGACTTTCCTTTTCTCACCAAATATTCATGGTGAATAAATTAATTTCCTCTGACCACTGATCTATCGAAACAACCTATGCTCCTAAATGGTCTTTGGGCTAGTTCATTCCCCACGTATTTAATATTTGTCACCATTATCTTTATGGTTACAGCTGGCCATATCGTTAGTTACCTCCCTCGACGCCATAACGTCGGTTACCTCAATATCTGCATGGCCAGAGCAACTTGGCGTAAGCCAGATGACTCGTGTTCGATCAAAGGTCCGAGTAATTTACGTTCGACAATTTACTCATTTAATACGGATGCAAAGAACGAAAGTCAGAGAATAGTCATCAGTTACAGGGGGAAACAAGCATTCAGTCGTATTTGACATAGTCACAAAAGGACTAGTGTCACAAAGTGACAATTAAGTGTTCATGTTCCACGAATAAAACGCAAGGCGAGCGCCAGCCGGCAGCGCCATTGGACGCGAGGAGAGTCGAGCGCAGAGTGGGAAGCCGGGCCTCGTGCCCGCAAGGGGAGGCTGTTGTAGAGCCTCCGAGCGAACGGAAGAGCAGAGGCGATTCGATTTGCATTATGCCCTCTCGCGGGTAGCGGCCGGACGGGTGTCCCCCACGAGAGAGAGAGAGAGAGAGAGAGAGAGAGCTGGGGAGAGGAGAGAGAGAGAGAGAGAGAGCTGGGGAGAGGAGAGAGAGAGAGAGAGAGAGAGAGAGAGAGAGAGAGAGAGACGGGCCTGACGCAGCGGAGCGCGCCAAGGCGAGATGGCGTGTCTGAGGGTGGTGCGAGTAAGTGATGTAGCGGAACGCTGTGTGCGACGCGGAACGGGGTGAATGGGGGAAGAGCCACGATGAGGTGGAATTAGGAAAGATAGGGCGAGAGGAAAGGAAACAATTTCGAAAAAGGACAGAGCAGGAAGATGAAAGATACTCTATTGCGAGGAAGAGAAGTGAATCCCTGAAGTGGACACGTTACTGCGAGAGAGCCATACAAGTGAGACACTTGATTTCATTGAATAGGCAGTACGGAAGACGAGACGAAAAGCGAGGCACAGGAGTCGATGGAACGGAAACCACGCCGACGGAGTGTGAAATATTCAGGAAACAAAGGAGCAGATTGTAAGAGAAGAAGACAGCGGAAAGGCTCAGATATTGCACCACGTTTTACTCTGAACTTTCCCGCAACGAGATCACTGCAGATCGGGCGAGAAGGCGATAAGAGACGGTGCAGTTCGTTCTCGAACTACATCGAGCAGTGCGTCCCCACAGCGGAACAGAAAGGAAGAAACGATGAGCTTAGAGCAGCTGTCAGAATACGAAACAGCACGGCACGCAACGAATGAAACCATGCCGACCGCGGAGAGAGGAAGAGGAACGGAAGAGCGTGCGCGAAACGAACGGCCCAAGCTCGAGGAACAGGGCGCGGCGCCCGCAGAGGAACCAGGGCGGGGCCCAGGCAGCGCGAGGAAGCTCCGACCAGCGCGACGCGGCGACGTGCCAAGAAGCGCCCTGTCGGCGGCGAAACGGGGCCAGTGCAGCGCCCCCGAGCCCATCCCTCCCCCCGTTCGCCCCCTCCTGGCACCGCGCGTTGGCCCAATACGCGAATCAATACCGGGGCGGGCGCCCGCCCTCCTCCCCTCCTCCTCGGCGCCTCGCCCGGAACAGCAGCCCGCTCGCGAAATCAGCACGTCGCCCGCGAAGACTGGAGCTGCGCGAAAGTTTCTCTTTCGCCGCCGCGCCGCCCCCGCCCCGTCGCCCCCGGCGGCGCCTGCAGCGGCAACGGCGAGTCAAGCCCAAGGCGCCGGGAGTTTCGAAACGCTCTCTTCCTGCCCCGCACAACGCCACCCAGGAAATATCCCTTCACAGCTACTCAATACACTGCCGATAACGGCGTTGAGAGGTTGTCAAATGGCATCATTAAAGAGACCGGCACTCGGGAGTGACTTTGCTATGGGGAGTGGGAAAAGACATTTATTGATTCCAAAAAACGCGTGCGTCAAGTGCGGTAGCAGCAATAAGAAGGCATGCGTGATAGGTGCGCTACGTCGAAAAGACAGTTGTGCCTCGGGTCTTCATGGAGGTGGACTGTTAAACCGATCTCCTACAAATTGTGGGCAAATGTAATCAGTTCCGAAGAAACTTTATTCTCTTTACTGAATTTAGTAAGTACGTGGTAAATGATACTTCTACGGGTGTTGTGGTGCATTATCATTGGCATTTCTAATGAAATAATTATATGCGTTGTCATTGCCAACATGTTGGCAATGACAACACAAATAATTATTTCAAATTATACTCGTTCACTCAGATCTACTGGAAAAAATACCCTGGTGATCGTGGGTCTCGTATTAGTATTAACATTAATATTAACGAATCTTCAAAAATATATTTTATTGTCTAAACGGAAATTAAAGCACTTATAATGTAGCAAACTGTTCACACAAAGTGTCAAATTCAGGAAAAACTTGGCATACTATTGCGAATAATAATTAAATTTAGAGAATCTTCATTCCCTTTGCGATGATTCACAATTAATTACAATACTTTTCAAATCCTATAGAACGAAATTTCGAACGGTTTGCTTTAATTTCTTTTATTGTTTATATTGTATTTTTAAAATATTACTTATGTATGGCAGATAATGGTGCATTTCTGGCAGTGGCATATTACCCCTGTCTGTGAATGACAATGTAAAGCGAATTTGTTTCCACCCAGGAAAATTTCGGAATATCAGCAATTCTGAGAAGCCAACTTGCGAACATATAACTATATTGCACCTTGATGAATTGTCAAGATCGTTCAAAACAGCAACGCTCACCCACTTTCATTTTTGCAGTCGGATACTTCCCTGCTGGGAATCGCTATAAGCACGTGCGCGGTTCATCTGAATTTGATTCCGAGAATATCGCATTTCCCTCTCGCAGAACACTTCGGCAATGAACACCATCTAGTTTTGTAAACAGGACAAAATTACGAACTCTTCCTTCCGAGAAACGTGACCAGTTACAAACACCCTATCGCGTACGTTGCAGAGTATTTTACGAGAGAGACGTAACTTTCACTGCGTAAATAACCTTTAGGGGGGAAAAAAGAGCAACAGATACGAACGGAAGAGAGCGAGGAAAAAGGATACGCGGGAGCCGTTAATTCGCGGAACACGTTAATACCACCTTCCGCCCACCATCCTTTCCGCTTACTGGTAAAATATTAACACGCGCGCGACTATCGCACACAAGCGTTCGGCCCTCGGCAGCTGCCAGCTAATTAAAGGAGAAGCCGGCGAGCGCGCTCGTTTACGGGGCTTCAGGCGCAGCGGGGCTGCGACGCGCTAACGCCAACGACGCCTCCGCGAACCGTCGCACCTCCTGTTACGCTGATCGGGTTACACCGCTGGCAACGACGGGGTCGCACACAGAGGCACGCCGCCGCCGTCGCCGCCGCCGGCGGAAACAATAGCGGGGGAGCAGGCGAACCTTTTACTTCACGTTCGTTTTAAAATAATGCAGTACAATTTAAAAAAGAATAAAAAGCTTGAAACAAATTGTATTTTCAAGTTGTATGAGCGGGAGGCTCGATTAGAATATCGTGTTGGCATCTAAAATGGCATCCCGGCATCTAAAATGCGTATCTGAAAAGTTTCGTAACACCAACTTCGTTAGCGGTGACAATATTTGAATCTTTTAAATACCTACACGAGTCCATTTTCGTGAGAGGTGTAAAACAGACACCCAAAAACGTTTCTAGCCATGTGCCAAAGTTAAAATTCACACTAGGAATAATGCCGGGAGTACAACATGAATCTCACACAGTCGTTAATGCTTTCCTATTTTTAGTTGTTGAAAACGCGCACTGGGAAATAATTATTGGGTATTGATTCTTTAACAACAGCCAAGCAGGAAGGATTAATGAGGGAACACTCGAAAACAACTTAATCACAACACAAATCTGTTGGTATCGACTTGACACCTAAAAGGAATGTACAGCTATTTTCCTCGACAGTAAACTAATCAGCAATTTTAATTATATGTTTATAAACAGGCTGGTTCTTGCTTTTTATTAAATTCTGGAATGTTCGCAGAATCACATAATGATTCAATGAATAGATGTGATTAAACAAGAATAGTCAATGATCATTCCCATTTGGTGATATTTTGCAAGCATTTGAATACTCCTGAATATCTCCGGGATTATTTGTAAGTAAATTACACTGCAAAAGAGTTCTCTTACAATTCAATACAAACATGTAATTAGAATAAATTAACAATGCAGACTTCCCAATAACACATAAAACAACAGTTTGTTGTTGTTTTTTTCCTAAAATAGCAATGTTGTAGACTCTCCGGAAAGATCTGCACGAGCTTTTTCTTAGAAGATTTTTCTAAACCTTACAAAAAACAAACACTACGAAAATTTAAAACATCGCGTTTGGAAACTAGGGACATCGTATTACCATCGTCGCTGGGGATGTACGTTTTGCTAAAGACACAACACCAAGTCCCAAAGAGCACTGAAATAAATCTGCCAACAAAATCATATTGTTTCAAAATAAGACGAAGAGAAACGACGCCTTGAAGCCTGCAAAACGACATTCCCTTCCCACGAAATCGAATTGTAAAAAAAAAGAATTTACCTTCCTAAACGTAGCCCAGAAGCAGAAACGCTGGAAAGGAACTATTTTCAGCCCCACACTGACGAGATTTGCAGCTCCTTCTCCGCGCTGGAAATGAGGACTAATTATTTTACAGCGCGGCAATTTCCGAGAAGGCGCACGGCGCGATTATGTGGCGAGGCTTAAACGATCGCCCCCCGGCCGGCCCTCCCACCACGCGGCAATCTGCACCTTTGGATAACGAGAGCGCCGCCCCACCGCCCCCGCCGCCACCGCGCAGTGGGCTGGGTTTAGCTGAAAAGCGCGCGTTGGAAGAAAGAAATTCCAAACATAAAATCCATGTTAACCATCCATCTAGTAGATTTATACATTTTACAAGTTCAGTATTAATGTACAAAAATGATTTCACTCAAGTACTATTTATATTTTTCTTTTATCGTGAATAATTCTTTATAATTTTGTGACAAACACATTGGCCACAAAATTGTAAAAGAGCTTATTCACATAATCTCCGTGAGAAATTCCATTTTACTTAAAATACAGTATATTTTATATACTTCGAAGTGCTAAACTGCGATTTTCACGAAAAAAAGAATGTATATTTAAAGAGATGCATTTTCAGCTTAAATGCAGCTGAGACCACTTGCGACTATAAAAATTATAGTATTGTCAGAAATGTGTAAAATATCAGAAAGCCAAATGTTCAATAAAATGCAGTTCAATAAATTCTACAGTATTTCAACTATCTCTAAACAATTCTAAATGTTACCCAATTTGAATTCAGTGCTAAACAACAATAGTATACAATTTACTTAGTACACAAATATCATGCACAGAAGTTACGTAATAAAATCAAAAGAAACAACAGAGTATGCATTAATTAGAAATCCCTAGGAGAGGGCAAAAACGGCAGGAAATTCATTACAATGAAAGGAATTAAATATGCGGATGTACCTATCAGTAATTTGCATTTATTGTTTGAATCGACACATTAGATCTTAGTTTAAATATGTGACACACATCAACACTTTATACACATTATTTTAAGAGGACCAGGTGTGACACCCAATCCGCGCACTTCGGGCTCTTCAGGCCCAACTGTGCGCCGCCCAGGGCGGCAACCTGCCCTGCCCGGCCCGGAGCAGGGGGCGCCCATTTCTGTAATCTCGGAAAGCGAATCAGCAACAGCAGCAGCGAGAGCGAGAGCGGGAGCGGGAGCTAAAATCGCCCGCGCGGCGGCGGAGGCGGAGGCGGCCGATGGGGTGCGCGGCGCAGAGGCGAATCGGGTCCGAGGACGACGCGGAGCAAAATGAATCGCGCAGTAACGCGATTGCCTAGAGGTGAGAGGCGCGGATGTGCGGAGCTAGTGACGATGAGGGAAGTGCAGGCCGCGATAAACGAGAGAGAAAAAAATGGAAAAAACACGGGGGAGAAAGAGGCGGTGAGGGAAATTGGGAAAGAGAGAGGGGGGGGAGAAATACAGAAAAGGCAGAATGCAATTTGGGTAACCAGCAAATTCTTCCAATGAAGTTCGTTGACATTTCGCAGACGTTTCCCCTTATTCTACCACACAACTCCAGACGAATATTTGAATTTTGTGAATTGCAATTCTAGATTCAGGCTCTTTGTAACTAAGTTCACAAAGCAGCATTTGATCCTGGAAATAACCATAGCTTCTGTGTTGTTTTGAACGCGGACCTACTACTTTTAAAAACATGTGAAGAGACGAAAAGTAATGATACAACGAACCGATGGAAAGGTCAGTCCAGAAAAACAAAAATCAATGCAATGAAAGCGCCGGGATGCGGTGCTGAATAATGAATGAACTAGTAATGAGAAATGTTCAAAAGGAAGAGTGGGGACAGAGTACAGAAAATAAAACGAAAATTGGTGTCATACAGGAAAGAAGGATGTTCCAGAAGAGTAGAACAAAAGGGAAATCAAGCGCATAGAGGAAGGAAATTGAAGTAACGAGCGGCGAAACGACGAGGAGAGGCTGCAGGCTTCCGGTTCATGCAAATGACGCTTCATTAGCCCACTAAACCCTTTCATACGCCGCAGAATTAGAAATGTTTGACTGTTAAAACAGACCGTATTTGCATATTTCAATACATGAAGCGAAAAGTAAGAAGAAAAAAAAGATCCGTTGTTCCGCGGTTCCGTATTTCATTATCGCATCACACTTCATTACAATATACCGCAGCAGCCTTTGGAATGCAAACCCACGGGATCGAAAAGAGAAGCAGTAATTTTGTTGGTTTTTTTTTTATCTTGACAGTTTCCGGTATCCTTGACAGGCCTCGACCTTTCCGGAGGTAATTTGACCGTGGCCCAGGGGGGGGGGGGACGCCCCCCGGTGTCTAATCTGGGAGAGCGAAGGAGCAGCGGGCAGCCTATAGCGACGCCCCGGCCCCAGCCCCGGCCCGAGGGGGACACATCACGCCCGCCCCGGGGAGACACGAGAGCAAAACGAATCGCACAGTAACGCAATTTGGAGGCACGGAGGCGGGGCGAACGAGGTGCGGAGGCGTGGCACGGCGCGGGGGGGGAGGGGGGCGGAGATGCTCGAGAGAAAAGGGTACGGGGTCGCAAGAACGCGCAGGCGGCGGAGAAGCTTCCAGAGAGCGAACGTCGCGTTGTGAGGGAAAACGAGGAGACACAGGGAGAGAAAAAAAAACAGCGTTACGCAAGAAATCTATGGTAAAGATCATATCCAGGTTACACGCGAGATCGTCAAGAATGAGAGAAGAAGACAGGCGCAAACGGCATGACAGGAAGACCGACGTTGAAGCGCGCTGGGGCTTAAGAATGAAATGTAATGAGACGTCACGCAGGAGCATCTGAAGGCAGGGGGAAGCGTATGGGTCAAAAGAGGAACGAAACGAAACTCAAAAGTATGACATTTTAAGAAGATCTATAACGCAATAACAAAATTAGAGAAAGCCAAAGTCATTTCACGCAATTACCGAGGGAAATATGACACAAGGTGGAAAATGTATTACAAACTCATGAAGGAAACTGATATTACAAAACGCGCAAGAATAACGAGATTGTCAAAAGCACGAAAACGCAACAAAGAGATGAGAAATCCAAATACGGCCCAAAGAATCGCACAAGAAAATCACTATTGACCAAGGAAAGCAGAACGTTGGCATTGTAATGGACCGAGAAAACCCCACAAGTGCATAAAAGGCGAAGATGGAAAGAGAAACCCGAGACAAATGGTTGAACTTGAAAGCACGGTGCGAAGCGACACGCGCAATCACCAAACCAGGAACCGAATCAAACGGGACGTACACCCAGAAACGAGTCCCGAAAAGCAGTGGGGATCGGGGCCCGCCCTCGTACCAGATCTCGCACAGGCGAGCGGAGCGCCCCGCGAGGCATGTGCCCGCAAGCGTAGGCGGTCCGCGCCTGGCCGCCGCACACGACCGCCGCGGCACCGGGGCTGCGATCAATAGGCGGCGGCGGCAGCGGGCCGCGGTCCCGCACCGCGCCACTCG